CGACCCCGCGCCCCCCCGGGAGGGGGGGGGGGGAGGGGGGGGGGGGGTCACGTCCCCACGTGAGGACAGAGCAGCGAACACGAGAGCCGGGCAGCAGCGAGTCCGGGCGCTGCCCTTCACCTCCTGTACAAGGCGGCAGCCGAAATCCTGCCTGCTCTTGCCCACAGACGCAGGAGGGCTGAGCCCCCCGGCCCGGGGGGACGCCGGCACAGGGAGTCGGGCCGGATGGCGCAAGCCGGGCTCTCGTCTCTTTGTGGCTCCTTTATCCGAGCCCCAGTGGAAACGCTGCCCAGGAGGAGGGAGGGAGGAAGGGGGAGCCCGGCTGGGCACCAGCAGCCCCCGCCGCAGAGCTCTGTGCTGTTTATATACACGGCTGTTCCCCCTCTGGCGGGACCCTAGTTTTCGGGGCTCGCGTTCTGCCTGGCCCGGATGAAGGCCATGCCGTGGGTGCGGAAGTGCGTCTTGAGGTTGAGCTGACTGTCAAAGCCCCGGCCGCACACCTTGCAGGAGAGCTTGCCGTCGGCCGCGTGCTGGGCACCTCCTTCCAGGGGGCTCCGGGGCCCCGGCTCCTCCATCTCGCCCGCTCCCTTCTTCTTCTTGTGGGTGATGAAGCGGTGGCGGTTGAGGGAGACCTGGGAGGTGAAGCAGAGCCCGCACTCCCGGCACTGGTGGGAGCTCTCGTCAGTCCGGTGCTGGGGGATGTGTTCCTGGAAGTCAGCTGAGCTGCTGGCGAGGTAACCGCATTTTCGGCACCGGAAAGGGGCCTTGCGGTCGCCCTTGGGGTTTTTGGAGGGAGGGGTGGTGCTGTCAGGCTCCTCGCTGCACGAGTCGCCCTCGTCCGAGGACAGCTTCCGCTTCCGACTGGACACCTACGGGAACAGTTCGGATAATGCATTCCCAATTTGAGCAGCTCCTGGCATAACCCAGCCTCCTCGGCGATTCCCCAAGGGGCTCCTACAGGTATTTGCTCGGATAAAGGCCCAGCAGGGCTTGGCCAGCCCCAAGAGCTGTGCCCCTGCCAGTAGCCCCGGCCAAGGGGCTCCCACACTGGCCTTTGACGTGCCCGTACCCCTCGCGCCAGGCGCCTTCGCCCCTCGCAGCCTGGGGCAGCCCCTAACAAGCCCCAGGGCCGAGGGGAGGTTTTGCCTTTTCTCCTGGCACACAGAGAGAGGCTGGGC